CGTGGACCCCCTGTCTTCAACTGAGGTCCAAATGTGAAAACAAAACAAAACAAAACAAAACCCTGCGTCGTGAATGGCGAGAAAGGGACAAGGTGCAGTGAAATTGTGAGGAAAAAACCACAGGAATGCAACTTGATGAGAGAGCTACTGGAGAAAAGCCAACCCACCCAAGATAAAGTCTGACTGCAGTTTAGATAAATAAGGAATAAGTAGAGGAGAGAGGAGCCGGGAGGTGGAGAAGGGAACAGCACACCTTGCACCACTGCTGTATCCTACAGGACACAAGTCACGAGGAAGAAAAAACTTCTCAGGGAAGGGCCAGGACAGAGAGAACCAGGGGCAGAAAGAGGTCTGAGTGAGCAGGGATCTCCAACGACAGCAGAGGAAGCATTTACGTGGACACAAGAGAAGGACAGAAATACGGTAGGGATGGGAGGATATGCAGGTCCCAACGAGGAGGATCTCTTATCAACCCTAGCAACTTGGAGAAAGTTGAGGGTCAGGTCAAAGGAAGGTTTGTGAAAGCAAAGCCAAAAAAAGGGAAGGCAGTAAGAAGGTGGGAGGACAGGAAACAGAAAGAGCTGTTGTAGCAGAATCAAACAAAAAACAAAAGCGGCCCTGGTCTGAACATGAACCTGCTTGCACTTTCAAGATCTTGTCAGTGGCTGGAGAAGAGCATTACTAATGTTTGGAGAAGAAAAAGAGTCTATAGGGCTCCACACCCTCTTCCCAGAGAAAAAGAATGCCAGTAAATGGTGAGAAAAGCTTGACTAGTAACCCACGTAAGGTAAAAGGACACATCAAAAGGCATGTGACTTGTCATTTCTGATTCCTTACTCAGAATTAGCATCAGCACTGTGTGAGATTCATATCAAAATCTCTTAAATGAATATTTGCCTGTTAGGGGCTGAGTGGAGGAGCAGAGCGACTAGAGGCCAGCTGACCTGTTTAATTCCAGTGCCCGGCTGTCCAGAAACCTTCAGCAGGTGCAGCAACACTGTGCCAATGCACACCTTGCCAGGAGGCTCACTCTTACATTCTTCTTTATTTGCTAGCTAGGGTCACTTTTGATACTTCCTGAATAGGCTCATGTTTTCTTCAGTTTCTTTCTTATGAAAAGGCACAGCCATATTTAAATGTCAAGAAATCTCTGTATAATTCAGGAGATGACAGAAGCTGTATTTTTGATCCAGTTGGGTTTGTGTGGGTCGTGCGTGTCAGGCAGATAGGAATGACTCAAAGCTCTCAGGAGACAGACAGTGAGAAGAAAGGTGAGAGACGGAGAATATTCCAAATGCCTACCACAAGGGCAGCCACACTCCATGAAAACCAGATCTGAAAGACTCAGAAAAACAACCCCCCTCAACTTTCTAGATCGTTTCCTCTACTCCCAGAACACCAAAACGCAAGCAACAGAGGTGACTAACCCTGCAAGGAAGCTCATCCCTCTCACTCCAGCTCCTAGATGGGCTCTGCCCATTGTAACAGCCAAGTCTTTTGGAAGCATCAGTAGATTTCACCGTCACAACACACCCTTGGAAGGGAGGAGGATGATCTCCATTTTAAAAATGAGGAAGTCAGTCATGGGGCAGATTAAGTAGCTTGCCCTACAACACACAGGAAACCTATGACTGAGTGGGGGGAACTGAACCCCGACCATGAGTTCCAGTTGAGTACCCAGTCCAAACTGGGCGCCCGACAGACCAGCTTTTCTACCAGGGCCTTGAAATTTAAAGGTTTTGTGCGTTTTTAAATGAATGTGCTTCTTTCATTTGTCTAGCCACTATGTTACATTTCACTTGCACTTCTGCTTTGTGGAAGCTTTTTATTCTGCTTCTTTTATATCGTGGCTTAAAAAAAAAAAAGTATGGTCTTCTTCCCTACCAACATTAACCTCTCTCTAGCTCTAAGTGTTAAGCGTCTTTCATTTGTATACTCTGTACTCATAATCATGGCTTCATCAAAATATGTCAGTAGTGTTTAGAAGGAGATTTCTTATAAGCAAGCGCTCATACAAGCAGCAGTGTTCTGAGGCAACGTGACAGATCTAGTGGGAAAACGAGAGAAAGGAGATGCACAAAAAAAATCCAAAGTAAATGATCCAATCCTGCTATGCAATATATCAAAATGAGCAATCAGCTAAAGAAAAGCTACTGGAAAGCCATTGCATTAAAGTGCCTAAAATGATTTGCTGGCTTGGCTAATGAACCACTGTGCAGATGTGAGCAACGTACTCTCAGTCAGAGTACTGCAGCACTAAGGTAAAAACACGTTTTTATGCGTAAAAACACAGTGTCTCTATTATCGTCATGATTGTGGTTTAATTGATATTTGAAAATGGCTTCAGATCTTTCAGCAAACGGCACGTAACGCATTTCTAACACAAAATTCTGTAATACTACATTAATTGCAACAAGATGTAGCAAGTTAAACTGTTATTTCATGAAATAATCCACTCTGGCTGAATCCTTTACAAAAAGCAATTTGAGAGGAAAAAAACAGTTAATTTTCACCGATGTATAGCAGCTAACATGGTAAAAAGAAAAAACTTTGGGCATTTCTGAGAAAATCCTGCAAAACCACAAACTTTCAAAAAGTGGCCAATATGCTATTTTCAGCTTATGTGGATGAAGCCCAAACTATCCAAAACTAACCAAGGTGCATCAAAAGAATGCAATCATTCCACTTCAACCACAGGCTTTCATCAGCTTTTGCCCAATGTGCATCCATGGCTGTCAAGCCCTACAAAATAATTTTAAACTTTTATGCTAAAAGCAGCTAAGCAGCCGCAAAAATAACCCTCTAAAAATATTTAAAACTCAGTCCCACTCAGCAGCTGAAAAAACAATTACTGATTGAAAAATTCAGTTTGATATTACTTAATAGTTCGGGAAAAGCTATTCATGAATCATAATTAACAATTATTTAACTATTTAAAAACATGTATCTACTGTTTTGAGGCCTCAGAGAGATCTAGTATGTGGCCTTCTGGCACCAACAGACAGACTAATACAGTTAAATTCAAAGGACATGAGGCAGAAAGTCACACTGCAGTAGTGAATCCTTTGAGGGATTGGTATAACCGAGATTGCACCACTGCTTCCGTAGCATGCATGCGGGGACACCATGGTCGAACCTGGTCTAGGAAACAAGTTATGATTACTTCAGTGTAAATTACATAACACAGCTTCAGCTCTTGGTGCCACAGTGATTAAAACACCGTAACATAAAATGAATGCTAAGGGCAATAAAACCAAAAGTTCTCCTTGAAATAGCTGCAATGGTTATGGACAACAATGACAGCAGTGCCACCCAGGGCGCAAGGTCGGAGCAAGGCTTCCCGCTCTAAGTGCTGCACTGCCACGCACGAGAAGACAAGGAGCACTTGTGACCCCACAGCTAGCCAGGCACCTGCCTCCCGCACTCAAAACAATCGCAGGTTGAGCTCAGAGTCATACTCCAGGAGGAGATCGACCATTTACAGGCAGGATGCCAAGAATATAAATTTTGTTTTGTTCTAAATGTATATATAACCTTCCCCAAGCAGTTGCCTCACTCATTTCTCTGTCCAAATGCCAGAGCTGAAGTCCCACCACTGGCAGCAAATAGGTCCTTTTTTCCCCCTCTTATTCGTGTCTGCCCACGTAGAATCGAGCTGAGCACTACGCTGGCCTGGCAGGCGTAGAGCAAAGATAAAACGGCAGTCAGCACACAACACCTGGCAGACAGCGGCAGAACTGAGAAGGATTTTTGTCAAGCACCATCTCACCTGGAGAGTGATCCAGGTGTGTCAGTTGACCACGCAGAACAAAAATCCACCAACAAGAAATCTATTCCAAAGAAACGATTCAATTACTTTACCACCTGGGGAGGAAAGACTGAGTACTGGGATTAGCACTTCCAACTAGCTTATTATATACTGCAAACATAACCTGTAGGGACTACTTTGCAAGGTGCTGAGCAGTATGAGCAAACAGTAAAATACACCCATGCGCTTAACTTTAAGTGACTTGAGTCCTAAGTCACTAACTTTGCTCTCATTCTCTGAAGGGATCATATTGTCAGAGGCCATTTTGAGGGAAACGCACTTAAGTCATAAATATTTCTCCTGTCAGGATAACCCGCATCATCAGCAACAGGAAAATGAGGGGAATATAAAAAGAAATAATAAAATACTTATAAAATTTTAGGTCACAAACATCCCCGAACGGATTATACTTTCAAAAGTGACCATATAAATGGCATTATGAGGTTTTCTTGGAACACTTCTCAACGTTTTCTAGGATGATGATGTTCGTTTTTAAGTACAAACAGGTTTTCAATGCCATACTCAATGCAATTGGCTCTTAACCTGAAACAGGGTCTTTTTCATTCACATATACTCATCACAGACGGATCCAAGAGACCAAATCATTGTTGTTCACAGCCTTCTGAGGGTCCCTTACCATACACATGGCACGTCAGAACAGACAAACCAGCGCTCTTTTCTGACCAGTTAGGTTATCAACGGCAGTTATCCATGGAGCACTGCAAATCAAGGTAGGCAGATCACAGTTTACGCCCTGGAACATCTGCAATAAGCACGTGCACTAGCAAGGCCAGCCCAGCATAGCACAAATGCAGGCAGCGATGAACACTAAAGGCCTATTTCTGAAAAACCATACAGGCCACAGAGTGGAAAATTGCACTGGCAAATGACAAAATAGATCAATATGTATTTTGCCAAATTTCTTGCTAGACTTACATGTAGCTGCCTATTCTCAGAAATGTTTAGCTACTGTGCCATGGAGTTTCAGAACAAGCCAGCAAGAGGACAGGGCTTTAAAGGGCTTTAGCTAAATGTTTCAGACATAGGAGCGTTCATATCCTCATGTGCATTGCTACTGCAGACTAGATGTGACAGTAAAACTATAAAATTGTAGGGAGCAAGCAAAATATCCAAAAATCCCCCCAAACTAAAGAAATCATTTTATGTTCCTTTTGTAAAAATACTTACTTACAACACAGTCCTGGAAATGATTTCCAAGCAAGCCAACTGCTGCTTTAGACAGTTTACTGGATGGCGTGGCTCAGCTCTTTCACATAAGAAGCACCTACAGTTATATCTAGAAAAGGAAATAAAACCAAAATCCTTTGTGAGCAAATACGCAAATAAAGTTGTCTTTCTTTTTTAAATCATAATCAGGTTAAAACTAACTTCAGTAGGACTGTATAAAAGTTCTCACACCAAGCTTAAAGTGTGATGTCCGTTTACAGGAAGGAGCTCCCAATCACAGTCAAAGCCCACCTAGGCAGCTGAAGCTGAGAGCGACTACGCTTGAGAAAAAAACCCATGCTGACTGTATCAAAGCAACGAACAAACTAGCACAGCTGTTTTTTTTTTTTAATCTAGTTCTACCTAACGCATTCTCAGGAAATGCAAGATGAAATACTGGCTTTAGCGTCAAAAATCTAGGTGATTTCAGTAAGGCCAAGAATTCCAGGCACTAAGTTCTTTTTCTCTCTTGAGTGGGTGTTCACTTGCAAGTTTTAGACATGTTAGCAATTCAATGACTGAACGAATTAATGTTCAACTTAACAGTCATTGTTAGGTTGGGAGGTTATTACTGCTTGTGCTGTTAAAGTGACAGATTAAAATAGGTTTGTATCTGAAGAGTTGTTTTCTACAGTACATACTCCCCAGCTTTTCATACCAAACGCTTTCTTCTGTCACGTCAACTCCTACTGTATGAACCGTTACTGTGAACCCTATCACAACAGCTGGATAGGCATGGAGAAGAAACAGCACTGGGGCAGGCAAGGAAGAGAGAGTACAGCCCCCATCATTTCTGTTTGGGCTGCCATTTGTTTTTTTAAAGCATTTTATGTCCTTTAAGTAAGACTTTGCAATAGAGGAGCATGCTCACATTTGCATGACAAATTCTACTTTTAAAGCAAGTAGAGCAAAAATTCAAGGTCCCAAAAGTACAGAGAGGGCTCTCATTTATCGAGCCATCAGCCTAAGACATCTGTTCACCGTTAAGCACTTTTTGGAGCACAGGACAGAAAGTTGCAATTTCAGGTTCTTAACATTAATGGGGAAGTCAAGTCCCAAATTTCAAGGCTGTGCTGATTAGGTTGGAGGAGAATAAACATACCACCGCGTATCTAATTTTTGCAGACTCAGATCCACTTTGTACTAGTAAATGAGCTTTCATCCTTCCCTCCTTTAATTTTTTTCTTTTAGGGTAGATAGCAAGCTGCTGACAACTCACACTGTACTAAGAAATGTTCACACTGCACAACGTGTTTACCACTCACAACTGATGCTAAAAATTAATTTACAGCACCACTACAGAAAGCTTTGACAAATTGTCATGTGTTGACACAGTCATGAGTTGTTGGTTAAAAAAAGTAACACTTCCCTCTTCTGCCACCTCATGTTTGAGATCAGGGATGGGCACATTATGCAAAGTTTGAGGGTTTGTAAGCTTCACAAATGTTTGGGCTTCACAAAACAAGCTAGGTTGTGAAACTTTTCTCCTCTTACAGTTAGGCATGTATTTATTGCCAACAAGATTCTAATACGAAAAAAAAAAACCCTTTTCCATCTACCAGAGCTACGTGTTGTGTGAAGCAATGAGAAAAGGCTGTAAAATAAATAACCTTGCATGATACTTTTTCTTCTCTGTGAATGATAACATCAGACCAATGACAAATACCCTGCATCAGCTATTCAGAGTTGCAGACACCACCCACCTACTGTAGACAGAAAAAATATATAGCTCCAAGTAAGAGTTTTAATTGTTCTCAGCTGTCACTTGTTATCTTAAGTGAACGCATTTATTTCTCAATTCTTCTGTATACCGCTACATGAAAAAAAAAGCAGCAGTGTTCCTCAGACAAGGTCCAAATCGATTTCTTTGTACTGAAGATAGTAACCATTAGTCAGCACTTGTGCCCACGGCGGCTCTTAAACAACTCCTCCTCTTCTTGTTCAAGGCAGGATAAATAATCTGTCTTGTTTACGCATTAGATTCAGTAATGGGCAAAATGGTGGTTTTGCCTGAAATGAGCAGTGTTTCAGTAGGCAACATGCTAATTAAAACTGTGAGCTACACACAAGAATAAATCAAGGCTAAGACATAAGGCTAAGGCTGGGGAGACCCAATCAACAGGAAATAAATAATGCATCTATCTGGCCAAGGCGTAAACATCTTTATGTTTAAATTTTACGGAACAGAACTCCGTAGAGCTGCCCAGGTAAAGTAGGGCCTTTCATCCGGCAACCAAACCAAGCCGTTACACTGCCATGTCTGTAATATCCGCACATGGAGAAAAAGAGGCAAGCTGGACCCTCCACGAGGCAAAACCCCAGACACTAGAATACTTTAGCAAAGGAGCACATTACTGAGAACTGAGTATTCTCAGTCAATGGGCTTCTTGAGGAGCACTTGCAAGCCACTGTTTTATGGTGTGCACCAGCAGTCTGGACTGGAAATGCTCAGTTACCCTTTACTAAAGCCAGTCACCGCTTGGAGCACACACTTTGTACGAGCGCAGCGGAACTTCATTCAGGAAATCAGCTTTGCAATACAAGGACATCATTTACCTTTTTTTCCTCAACATTTGTACAAAGAAGACGTGGAAGAGGTGCTGTGTGTGAGTCATTCACAAAGAGAGGTAACTTGGCACCTTTGCAGAAGCAATCCACTCACCCTAGCCTGTGCCTACACTGGGGCAAGCAATGATCCACATAATTTCTCTACAAAACCCAGGACATATTACTGCACCTAAAAAGACCTCCTGCAAAGTATTACGGGGGATGAAAGTTCATATGGACGCTTCACTTGTTCACACCTCGCTCACCTTTTCTAAACTTCTTCCTGTTAAAATGCAGAACTCTGACACAGCGCTGCTCCTCTGGCTTGCTTTGCACCAAAACAGAACAGTGTGCAAACTTGTTTGTGACAGTTCAAGCTAACTACTGGTATTTTTGCAATAGATGGATATGGAGAATTGATTAGCACATGCAGAGCCACTCCTACTGGCAGACAAGTAGCGTATTTCCCTGTACCAAATTTGTCCATCATCTGAGACGTTACTCTGACAAATGACACTGATTACTCTTTTAGATCTAATGGAAGCAGAGACACTGAGGATTACACATTCACATCATACAGTCGAGACGGACATTATCTTGTTCTGCTGACTGAAATGATATCATCCATGCTTAATTAGTTTAGATTGCTGTGCATTTAGAAAAGCAATCAAGTAGAAACTCCTACCTCCCCCTTCCTATGTAGCAAAAAGTTAGAAATATTTCCAGTGCATCATATGAAATGCACTGTGTCACTGGATTCGGTTCAAGAGTCGATGAGGCTGAAATAAAGATGATCCAACTCTTAGCTCAAAATCGGCAGCTGTACAACTACCTCTTCTTTTACCCAGAGGGTAACACCAATTTTCCTCCAGATTAGAGGAAAACTGATAAAAATCTAAGCTCTATTGCAAGTTATCTCCACTGCCCAAATACGATCTCTTGCACGCTTTTTTGCTCCTGTGCTGTATAGAAGGAAATACAAGTAGCTTAAACTCCTTGAGTTCTTATTTTGGGACAGAAAAAGCCCAAGACATCTCCACTAACCTGGTGAACAGCACTGATCTGGAAAAAAAAAGAGGGAACTGTTCACCGACTTTTTTGGAAAAAAGTGTCCATTTCCATTAAAAAACATTCACTTGTGACAGGTTTCTTCCTGACAGAACCACCTTGTGAATATGAAGAAAGCACCTGCAAGCAAAAAGGCCTTTATGGCCCACGTCCCTTTGCCTGAGCTCTTGCCTGCTGTAACCTACAGTCTACCCTTGATTGTCCTTGTTTCTGCAGGGCAAGGGGAAAGTTCTCCCCGACATTAGGAAGTGCAGGAAGGCCAAGAGGGCTTCAACAACTGGGAAATGGAGATCAAGTCAGTTCTGTGGCCTTCCTATATCGGACCGCACTGCTCTGTCCCTCAGGTTTCGGCAGGGAGAGGATGGCAGAGGTTCAGCTGATCCCGCAGTGAGTTCCTCTCCAGCTGCTGTCCATGTCCTCTCCATGCTGTCCATGGCCATAAAGGAGATGTTTGCTCCAGCAAGCCCTCACCAAGATTTCCCACGCAAAAACAGAACATATGAATTTATCCTGCTGTCTTGATGACGCAGCTATGTAACTGAAGGGATAAAGTACAATATATGAGAAACGTACTGGGTAGCAACTGTGCGTGTGCGGTGCAGACGGTGTGAAACAGATGTTCCCTAACTGGAAAAAAAAAGTGGGGTTGCAGCTTTTTTGTTCCCCGGGCACCACTTTTCCAACCAGAGAGGGCAGAGTAACTGCTCTGCAGTAACCCAAATACTTCAGATTTGCTGGGGTTTATGAAAGTCTCTCCTCTCCCAAGGCAAGTGACATCAGTGACTAACTTGAACGTGGGTTATTTTCCTGTCTGTATTCTACCTTCGTCTTCGTACCGCTGCAAAGGTCACGGCGTCATATCTCTTGCACTGAGGTCTGCCGCCCACCAGCAAACAAGGAAGCAGCTTATCTGGATGGCCTCACAGGAACTCCTGCTAGCATTTGGGGGAGCAGAGAAAAAACCCTGTAGCTTCCAGCTGAGGGGGGGGGATTCAAAAATAGCTCCATTTCTGAAACCTTAAGAAGGGACTCAGATGTTCAAATTACCTTGAACTGAAAAGATCTGGATCTGCACCGGCTTGCTTAGCAAAGCCCAGGCCTGAAGAAATCCTTCCCTTTGTGACTCTCCCACCTCCTCATCGGAGTAGGGGAGGGAGTTACGGGAAGTGAGAGCTCTGCAAGCATGAAACGGTGGGAAAAGGGATGAGATCTTTGTTCGTGCCTCTGTGGAGCGCACCTTGCGCTTCCATCCCTTTAAAGTAGAAGGAACTTAGTGGCTCTGTGAAGAGTTTAATCACTTGAAAGCCAACATCTCTGTTTCCCCCTTTGCGGGCTCCATCAAAAAAGGAAGTACAAGAATCCCTCCGTAGGCAAACTGGGAACTGCCTCCCCTCCCCGGCACACAAACGGACTCACACACATGCACATGGGCATCCTTTCCCTTTGCTTTACAAT